CCGGGTCCCCCACCATCTTTGTGGCCTCCGCTGGACTCTCTCCAGAAGATCCCTGTCTTTCTTGAACTGGGGATCCCAGAACTGGACACAATATTCCAGATGTGGCCTCATCAGGGCAGAGTAGAGGGGGAGGAGAACCTCCCTCGACCTGCTGGCCACACTCTTTTTAAAGCACCCCAGGTTACTGTTGGCCTTCCTGGCCACGAGGACACAGTGCTGGGTCATGGCCAGCCTGTTGTCCACCAGCACACCCAGGTCCTTTTCCTCAGAGCTCCTCTCCAGCAGGTCAGCCCTTAACCTGTACTGGTGCATGTGGTTATTCCTCCCCAGGCGAAGGACTCTGCACTTGCTGTTGTTGAACATTGTCAAGTTCCTTTCCGCCCAACTCTCCAGCCTGTCCAGGTCTCACTGGATGGCAGCACAGCCTTCTGGTGTGTCAGCCACTCCTCCCAACTTCAGATCATCAGCAAACTTGCTGAGGAAGGACTCTATTCCTACATCCAGGTCACTGATCAAGATGTTAAGCAACACTGGACCCAGTACCGACCCCTGGGGAAAATCAGGAGCAAGGATATTACAGGAATTATTGTCACCAAAAAAGGACTTCACTACTTTCCTTAATTAGCTCAATGGACTGATGTTTCTGTGAAGGCTTCATTTACTTTTAGACAACACATTCCCCAGTAAGCAAAGGTTTTTTACTTCAAAGGTTGAAGATGACAAAAGTTTATGTAACCAAATGTACTAACCCAGGCAGGAAAGAAAATAGTGCTTGTATCAACTTTATGCTGCTGCAGCATTCTGAGGTAATCATGCTGTTATTACTGGAGAAATAATGCTTGCTGAACTCTGAGTAAGTTTGTTAATTGTTCTCAGTTCTGTGTCATGAGATATAGGGAACAATTGGTATTTTGAGCAACCTTAAGTGACACTAACTCACAAATTTCACCTTCTGTCATATATCAAAATAAGTTGAATCGGTAAACACAGAACAACCAGCATGGAGCAGAATAGAGGAAGCTCTATTGTAAAAGTGAATGTAGAGTATCTCACAGGGATGACTTTATCCATTGAGAAGAGCAGATGGCAGTATTTGGAAAAAGCCTTCCTAATCTCAGCTTAGTGGCATCAGTCAGTACTCTCTTGCTTCTCTAGACAGATGTTTCATTCTCGGGCAGAATACAATTTTAAGAAGCATCAGCTTCAAAAAAGCCAGGACAACATACATTGTTCATAAGGGCCATCACATACAATTTTTTTTTTTTAATGGATTAAGAAATGTACAATTCAGTTAATTAATGTTCAGTGCAATGCTCTACTTTCTTAAAAAAAGATACCTATCCCTGTTGTGGTGGGCTTCTCACTGAAAGAAAACAGAAGTATTAATAGTATGTGGGTAAGCAAAAGAATAGGAGCTTTCCCCAGCCTTTGCCTCTATACACATGAACTGCTGAACAGCTCAGGAATCCCAATGTCCTCGTTGATTT